GGAAATCCTGTGACATTTTATGGGCAGACAGATCGCTCTGATAAGCTGGGAGCCCTCGCATCTGTGGAGCTGCACTGAAAGAGGTATTTCTTTGTTTGTTTGGTTGGTCGTTGGAAATAAAATAGTTGAAATAGTTGGGCTACAACCTTGCTGGGCCGTTGTCTCCTTGGCTGTGCTTTTTACTTTTCTGCCCCCCACACCGTCGGCATTAATGTTACAGTATTTACCGCAAAGCGTGTTATTTTTCATGGACTCTTTGATTTTTTTTTTTTTTCTTTTAAAAAAAAAAAAAATCTTACTTTTTAAGTCCATCGGAAAGTGTGCTGTGTGTTTGTGTGCCAGAGGGTAAACGGAGTAGAGGTTGCTGCCAAGCTCCCGGCTTGACAAAGCATGCCAAAAATACTATGGCAGGGTTCTTTCCAGGTGAGGAAAAATCCTTCCGTGTCTGCTGCTCTTGGCAGCTGGCACGAGTAATTTGACGGGTTCAGTTCGCGATACTGGGGGAGTTGTCCTATTTTGCTCGGGGTCAGAATTCATTAAGGGCAGGAATAGCAGATCGGATCTCGCTGCCGCGCACCGTGAAGGGTTTCACAGAAATAATGGGGAAATGGGCTTTGAAATTTGGAACTCCCGGTGCGTTGTTGGGACGGCGTGTGATCTGTGTGGCTAAGCTGCGTGACAGTGAAAGTTTAGGCTCTCATGTTTTCTTGAAGCTTAAACCAAAAATTGCTGTTTCCTTTCTCCTCCTCCCTTATTTTATAGAACTATCTTTTTGATCAGAATCGCCGGTGTGTTATCTGAGCAGCACCCTGCCGATGCTGCCTACCCGCGCATGGAGTTATCTTTGTATCTTATACTCGAAGTGTTCAAGTCCCTACATAATAAAACATGCTTATTGTGCGTGCTGGTTTTGGTTTGGTTTTAATAAATGCCCTGGGTACGCCCACGCTGATGATCCTGTCTGGTGCTCCTGCATACTTTGTAAGAAGCCAATTTATTAGATGCTATTTTCTTACCCTACCTGAAAGGACGATTCATTAACGAAGGGGCCTTGGGGCCTGCTGCGTTTGTCGGGGCGCGGGGCAGGGCGTTGGCCGGAGCGGGGGGCAGC